TGGTAGCAAAGGCCAGGCATGAGTGTGGCTGGCAATGTGTCATTAGCCCATCTGGTCACCCCAGAGCTGGGCCAGGGACAGAAGGTTTGGTTTAAATTTCTCTTCTACTTGAATTCTAATTTCTAGAAAGGAAGGGACTAGAGAGGGCTTTTTATCCATTCCCTTGCCTCTTGGAAGATTAGTGTCTTAATATATTGTTATTAGTATTTTCCAAAAACTTTTCAAAGAAGGAAAACTCAGAAGCCCCTTTGGGATTCCAAAGCAAAGTTTCCTGTACTATTAAATTTTAATTGCACTTGGTACAATTTGAATCATTTCCTTTCATCCTGTGGAAATGAGTTCCATCTCCTATTCATCCTCTCCATTGTCTCTGAGAGGGTGAGAACCTGGTGGTCATTTCTGGGCTCTTCCAGAGGCAGAGAATAAAAATATTTAGCAACCTTCGTGAGGCTCTGCATGGTTTACAATGTACTTTCCTGCATGCTCCCCTTTCACTTTGATACTCAGGAGAGCTCTCTGAGGTAGGTGACCTTGTCCCCATTTTATAGCTGGAGAACTCCTGCTGTGAGACATGTAGCAACTTGCCCAAGGTCACTCAGCAAACAGGTGGCCGAGACTGGTTTAAAACCCTAAGCCAAGAGAAGATCTGATTCTCTCCTCTGCCATTTCCATTGGGGGAAGGAGCAGAGAGGAAGGAACAGCAGGCTGTATGGTTGTTGCCTCAGGGGCGGTGAGATGCAGATCCGGGGACAGGGTGGGGAGGGAGACATTTTCTTTATCTACCCTGTTACGCCTTTAAGTTTTGTCCAGTGTACATGTACCATCTCACTGAAAAGAAACTAGATGGGTTTTTAAAAGGAAGCAAGAGGAAGAATGGAATACCAGGCGGCTCTAGCCTTGCTTCCATCGAATACTCCCAAGTGTGGCCGTGGGCGAACCAACTAAATCCTCTGTGCCTAGGTCTTATCACCTATCAAATGAGAATAAAGGAATAGTTGCTCTGCCTACCAAATTCACGGACTCTTTTTGAGAATAGTATAGTTCAGTAATTATTACTCTGGAATGGGGAAGGCAATGCCAGCATCATATGGTTCAAATTAAGCACACGCCTTCCCAGATATTCTGAGACCCGCTCCCTCCCCACCTCCCCCAACAATTATGAAAATCGCAATTCATGTGTTATGAAAAAAGCACAGGGGCGCCTGGGTGGCGCAGTCGGTTGAGCGTCCGACTTCAGCCAGGTCACGATCTCGCGGTCCGTGAGTTCGAGCCCCGCGTCAGGCTCTGGGCTGATGGCTCAGAGCCTGGAGCCTGCTTCCGATTCTGTGTCTCCCTCTCTCTCTCTGCCCCTCGCCCGTTCATGCTCTGTCTCTCTCTGTCCCAAGAAATAAATAAACGTTGAAAAAAAAATTAAAAAAAAAAAAAAAAAAAAAAAA